AGGGAGGGAGAGAGGGAGAGAGAGGGAGGGAGGGAGAGAGGGGGAGAGAGAAGGAGAGCGCGAGCTTGGAGAGGTGTTCTTTTTCTCTTATGCCTTTTCCAGAAGTGAGTCTTTCACTCAGCAGTTTAACAAATGCACATTTCTTTTCAGCCTACCCTTATCAAGCAAGCTCCTATTTACAAGCTAAATTATTCTGAGGCAGAGAAGCCTTAAATGAAAGACAGACATCATTACAGTCCTTTAAGGTCATGCTGATCTCTTCAAATGTTGGAATTCACTAGAGTAAAGTTGCCTTTTCAACTAAGTGACCCCATCACTTTAGAGTAATCCTTGTAATGAGTATAAATCTAGCAGCACATTCTAAGAAAACACTAGATTCTAAATGATAATATTCTGCCAGGCCGGAGAGAGTTTGTTTTCAAAATGTGGGCACCAGTATTCTCCAAAGTGTGTTTCTAGATATACCGAAGCAGGTATTTAGGTTTACTGAGGGCCCACAGCAGCACAGCAACTCCCTCCCTCCTCTCTCTTCCCTCCCTCCCTCCTGCTCCTCCTTTGAAAATTCAGATGATAAAAAGTGTCTATCAGTTTAATGAAGATATATTTGGATCATTAGAGATTCACCTTTAAATCAACAAAACAAAATCATCTAAAATATAAGCAAAAAACCAGCATCCCCCAAAGTATGTTCTGAGGATCACTAATTCTTCAGGGCATCACTCAAAAGAAATCTCAGACATACTGACTGCTGTACTGCCCTCTCAGAGCTGCTTGAGCCCCACATTAAGCCCGTTCAGCCGCTGTGTGGTATGACCTCTTCAAGGTCATGGTCAGCTACAATCTCATTAAAACAATATAAGAAAGTTAGCAGAACAGGTTCAGTACCTGCAGCTGCAGCTGGTCTCCAGGCTGTAATCAATATTTGTCATCTTCCCCTCCACCACGCATTCTAGATTTCCTCTACCCTTAGCTATCGCTTTTGCTGCTTTAGATTGCTTACCCGATGGAATAACCCAGACCTTTATCTCTGAGAGTCTGATTCCCTGCTTTCCCTGCCCTTGTTAAGCCACGATTATGACAATTTTTCATTCACTGTTACTGTCAGGAATGGAAGCAACAAGAGACACCTTAGTGAATCTCCTGAGTTCCAGGCATACTCCTCCATGCTCCTGTTATGTAACAGCAGCCCTGGTACCTCATGATAATTAAGAAAGACTTCCCCCACCAGTATAGCGCCTCCTTCCTTTGATTGCTGGTCCACAGGCATGAAGAGCTCAGAGTGACCAGGTGACACTGTGGCTGCAGGCTCAGTGGAATGGAACCCTTACCATGATCCCCGGTGGAAGGGCAGCCCCATTGGAAACCAGGACCTCTAATCCAGCAGAACCTAAGCTGTAGGAATGGAAAGCACAAAAATGAAAATGAAGTGAATTACTGCGAGTGATGGAGAGAGGGGCCAGTTTTACTTCCATCCCTTCATCCCTAGACCCGTATATTTTAGCGGTTGTGGTGCAGTGCCGTATATCAGATGTTGGCACAGTGCATCTGAGGGAGCTCCCAGCCTGGGCGGTTCTGTCTCTGAACTGCTGTCTTATTTGAATCTTCAACAGGCCATTGCAGCTTTCTATCAGATCTGCTGCTTCTGGAGAAGCTGGCTCATGATAGGACAAATGGACCCTGTGGTCATGTACCCTTACCATTGATATGCACCCTCTGCTGCAAAACGTGCCCCTTCACCAAAGGCAATGCTATGTGAGATCCCATGGAGGTAAGTCAGGGGTTCTAAGAGTCCTCAGATAGTGGGCAGAGAAGGCAGACACATGTAGAGCAGGTTTTATTTCTGCTCTCTCCAGAGTGGAATGTCTCAAGACATGGAGAATGGCACTAACCTCTATAATTCTACCTAAGGTGTAGGATTGCTGCTGATTTAAATTTTCTGCTTAATTGATAACTTGATTATTATTTCATAACTAGTGAATGCCCACAATGTGTTAAGCTTTTAAATGTCCTGGAAAAATGTTAATATTGCACATTGAGTTTCTGTCCCTAACACTTGGGCTCCAATGGTGAGACAAGTGTGTTCATGTAAATTTGAACTGTTGAGGATGCTGCTTTTACATAAAGTTACCCTAGGACACTGAAGATCTGCTAAGCACACAGCAAATAATTTGTTTTGTTGTTGTCTGCGGAACTAATTAAATACATGGATAGACACACAAGTCAAATCAGTATGCTCCTCTAGTTCATTCAAGAAATCCCAAGAGAATGAGAGTTGTGTCTATTGATGTCTTAATTGCTCTAGATCACCCTGGCACTCCCAGATCTAGGTAAATAATAATCATAACATAAGCTGTTTTTTGGCATATTGTTCTTAGACTAGTGACCCAGAATTTATTTATTTTTGTAGTGGGGAACTAATTCATATTCCTATATGTAAAAATACCAGAAAATGTAGTATTAAGTAGATCCATTCTACAGGCATAAAAATAAGAAAGAAATGCTGAAGATAACATGGCATTCGAGGTTTAGCCTGTGCAAATTGAGATGCCGGCTGCATCAGCTCCCAGAAAGATCACTGTGGGCAGGTACATGCACATTCCTCTTCACGTGGGAGGGAAAATGGGGCTGGTGTAAAGATATACAAGACCAGCGAGGTAGTTCCTTCCTGCATTCATTTTTGGGGGGTTGAGTTGGTGGAAATTGTTCTCTAATCAGGAAACACCAGGCTTCAGTATGATCACATTGAGGCCTTTCTGGTAGATGAGGGGGTTAGGCTTAGAGAGATGCTGCAATGGAATTTCTGCTGGCTGCTCTGCTCCAAACCAACTAAGCTCATCTCTCCGTGCCTCAGTTCCCTTATTTGTAAATGGAGACTATAATAGGAAACTTCCTCCTGAGGTGGTCAGAAGGACTAAATAAATTAATACATGTAAAATACTTAGACTACCACATGGCTCATAATAAGGACTCAGTAAGTGTTAGCTGCCATCAACATCATCATCATCATCATCATCATCATCATCATCTTTATCTCACATGTATTCTACTGAGTATGAAAGGAAATTGAAACTTAATATATATGACTCCATTAACTTGTACTCCAAAAACTGAAGGAACTCAGATGGCCTAAAGTGATGAAGATTTTTAATAACTTTTATAATTTTCCACTAATTTCCCCATATGGTTTTCTTGATACTATGAAGGTGTTATGGGTTAAATTGTGTCCTCAGGAAAGTATGTTGAAGTCCTTTGTACCTCAGAATGTGATCTCATTTAAAAATAGGGTTACATGCCCGGTGGGGCGTGGCTTAGCAGTTGAGCATCGACCTAGGATCCAGGCGATCGGGGTTCAATTCCCGGTCGGGGCGCATGCCCGGGTTGTGGGCTCGATCAATGACTCTCTCATCATTGATGTTTCTATCTCTCTGTCTCCCTCTCCTGTCCTCTCTCTGAAATCAGTAAAGATATATTTAAAAAATAAAAAATAGGGTTACATTACATACATCACTGCAGATGTAATTAAGGTGAGGTCATATTGGAGTTGGGTGGGCTCCTAATCCAATGTGACTGTGTCTTTATCAGTAGAGGGAAATTTGGACATAGGGATGCAGAGAGGGATGATGATATGAAGACACACTAGAGAAGATAGCCATGTGATGATGGAGCCAGAGATTGGAATGATACATGTCCAAGCCATGGAATGTCTAGAATTCAAGGCAGATACCAGAAGGTAGAAAAAGCGTGGAAGGATTTTTTTCTATAGGTTTCAGAGGGAGCATGGCCATGCTGATATCTTAATTTTGGACTTCTAGTCTCCAGAACTGTGAGATAATAAATTTCTGTTGTTATAAGCCACCCATTTGTGGTATTTTGTTATGATAGTCCTAGGAAACAAATACAGAACAGGATAAAAAAATACAACTGAGGGGATGACACAGCGCTCAGACCTAACCAGTCGGGTCATTGGAAGCCTAGAGTAATGTTCAAATGCCAAGGTGTCACTTTATGTTTTCTCCGACTGTTTTGACAAAATCCTACAATCTGATTTTTTCCCCCTCTCTCTTTCTAATCTATCTCCAAGATCTGCTTTATTAGGGGAAGACTTCTCTCACCATTATATAAGCGGTAGGTTTATGGATATACATTCTTTCCTATTAGACATTTGAAAAAACCTCTTTAAATTTTGTGCATTCATTCATTCTTCTTTTTTTTTTGCGCATCAGAGCAGAGTGCCAAAGCAACAGTCAGCCTTATTTAGATTACCCAGGGTCACAAGCACTCCTGCTCCTGTGGGTCTTTAGAAAAGAGGGAACATATCTAGTTTTTATGCTGATTTCCTCAACTTGAATACAATTTGATTATTTTCAGAGGAAAAGCAGACTGTTTTTGTGCTGCAGACACTAACTAGATCCCTCCATATATTATATCACTTAACTTTTCCTAGTTCTAAGGACAGCTATTGGACACACACCATTTGTTAGGGCCAGTTTAATCTTTCTACAGTTATCATCTCAGATCCAGGGTGTCCAAGCCAAGATTTATTCGTTTTCAAATACTTTTTCCCTCCTAATAACCTAGAAAATCCTTCCAGAATTACCAATAAGTCCTATTTTCACCTCATACAAGTGACTATGCAGTCAAATTCAAAATTTCATAGATACGTAACCTGAAAGTAGTAGAAGAAAGAGGCAACGTTTAGAAGAATATCTTTAACTCATTAGCTAATTTTCTCCTGACTTTGTTTACTGCCCCTCAAGTTCCATAGGATGATAAGGTTTTGTCCAAGTCAGCAGGCACATTTTTTTGTTTTCATGACTATTCCCAAAAATACATTTGTAATAAGCATTATGTTCTTTTCCAAAGTACAAGTGAGTGACTACTGGTCCTACTGATTCCACTTGTTATTTTGCAATGTATATTAAATAGAAAAGTAGCTTTAAAAATATATAGAGAGTATGCTTTTTCGGAGGTATCAAGCAAGGGCATGAACAAGGACACGGGGCTGTGCATCAAGCAGGAGCCTGCTTTGTATAGTTTTAAGAGAGCTGTTAAAGTAGCTTTAGTTCCTTCTGCTCCTTGATTAAATCTTGATTAAAATCAGTGCTGCAGTTAGAACGGGAAGCAGTCTCCTCCTTCCTTTCCCTGCTGTAGGTAACATCACTTGATTGCTTGAGACAGTTAAAGGTTCTTTGGTAGTAAAAGGACAGCAAGATTAATGGGCAGGCATTTCCATAGTAACAGCAAAGCACTCTGGGAGACAGAGCCACTTGGGGGTGGAGCTATATGTGCCAGGATTTCAGCTCCATGGCAACAGTATAGTGTGGGGCTGGGATGCTACAAAACTTAGCAGAGGTCTGTTTAGTGGAGACAATGTATAATCAGAGTTGTCAATCTATTTTAAAATCCAAAGTTAAATAAATCAAATTTGAGACCACAAGCTGATGCAAAACATTTAAAATACACCGTACATTCACTCAAAATTTCTGAAGCATAAGCACAAATAGTTTAAGAACTATCCAATTGTGACAACTTGCTAGTTTAAAAAAATCCAATTACCAAGATTTTTGTCCCAGAGTAGCTGCAGAAAATTACACAATTAGAGCAATTTTTTCTCAGCTGCTCCACTACAGAAAACGAAAGTAATTATACAAAAATAGTGTAAAATACTTTTCACAATTTGCGAGTCAGATTTTTGCTTTCTTTAGAAGAAATTCTGTTTTCCTCTGTAGATAACCATCTCAACCAAAAGTTGAAGAGAGACAGCAGTAAAAAGGAGAAAGGAATAGCTAGAAGAAGAATAAAGAACAGAGCAAAAGGTGAGTGAAATACTAAGTAACTCGGGAGAAGCTGAGAGGAATTCAGAAAGACCTCAGAAGCTAGCATTCCAATTACAATGGGTAAAAGAAGTTTGACACAAAATCATATTCCTCCCACTTTATTAACATCAGAGTTCAAGTTTTTGAAGGTCTCCTTTACTCTACATAAAATTATAACACATTCAGCAAGCTCACCATCCACTTAGGAATAGGCATTATTTCTATCTAGGCCTTTCGAGTCAGGTCTACACAGCCTGAAACAGAAAGATGGAAATTATCTGGTGAAGTGGGGGTAGGTTAATTACTAATCAAGTTCATTAAGGTAAAGCCTGTATGTTTTTATCTGCTCTTTTTTTTTTTTAAGTTTCTTTATCTTCATTTTTGAAAATATTACAGATGTCCCCTTTTTTATCTCCATTGATCCCCTCCCCCCTTTGTCCATCCCACCCTCAGGCTTTCCCCATACCAATGTCTGTGTCTGCTCTTTATTAAGAATAGTTGTCACCTAGAAGTAGTTACTGAGTGTACGCTAAGAGTTTAAACAGAGCAGTGCACCCAATTCCTGCTCTGGGCTGTCTATTCTCTGGAAGGATCTGGATGTCAAATGTGAAGAATCTGGCCCCAGTGTCTCAGAGAAGAGAGAGGCCTATTGCTAAGCACCCAACATTCATATCCTACATCTGGAAAGGAAGGTTTACTATCGGGAACATCTATGAAATTCCCTGCCAAGCATCAGTGCCCATAATCTGGGACCTGTCCTCTTCCCCTACTATCTACACAATTAGCATTATTGTGCTGTGACCCTGATTCCCAGTCTGTAGTTGATTGATTTAAGAATGGGTACCTAAGTCTAACTCAGCTAGTCAAAGCATTGCCCAAGATTTTGGGGATTTGGGATTTGGAGAGCTGAGTCAGTCTCTCACCAGTGACTAAAGCTGTAAGATGTAAAATTCTGAAGTTATTAGTGACCATGTTTTCTGTCATGTGGACAAAAACTCAAAAGACAAGAATAAAAGCAGCAGAGAAAAGCAAAAACAAAAAGTAACAGAAATCAGAATTTTTTCCAACATGTCAACAACAAGCCTGTTGGAGCAATGCCTTCAAAGTTATTTCCAATCTAAAATTCTATATCCAGCCCAACTACTAATAAAAAAACTGTAGAATAAATACATCTTAGATATGCAAGAACTCAAAAATGTATTTCTCAGACATACTTTCTAGGAAAACAATTGACAAAGGCATGCCACTAAAGGAGTGAAGTAAACTAAGAAAGAGGAATACATGGGAAAGGAAATAAGAAGGCAAAGGGATCTGTAGGGCTGTGGAGGATCCTAGGATGACTGCTATGTACCAGATTTAGAGGGTCACTAGTCCACAGGAAGCAGTTCACAAATTACTTCCTTTGATTCTGTGTCCATAACTACCCCCCCTCCAGATGAAAATATAGGTATAGTGAAAGTTAGCAGAACTCTATTAAGTTATCTATTGCTGTAACAAATTGCCACAAATGTAGTGCCTGAAGACAACATACATTTTCCACTTATAGTTTCTGTGGGTCAGGAGTTCAGGTACAATTTCGCAGCATCTAATAAAATATGTGCGTATTCAACAACCCAGAAATTTTAGATAACAATTTAGGAATAAATCCAACGAAAATATGTACATATACATACCAAAGTATGTGTAATTGAATTAAACTAATTGATGGCCTGTTTTTATCCATTATATGGATAATTCATAGATCTAATCAATAATTCTTATCTATTGGAGCATTGACCATAATCTGTTACACAAATATTCCTGTCAGGAATAAATGGATTCTTCAACTAGAAAATTCAAATTTCACTTCAGTCATTGTTTTGGGTTAGAGTGCCAAAAGAGTAGAAATATGTATCTGACTTGGCTTGTTCCTAAACTTTATTTTACTATGGGTCTAGTATCTGGAACCTAACTCAGAATTGGCATTAAAAAAAGACATAGATTAATCAAAGGAAGTGAACTTGGATATAGATTAAAGGAAGTCTGTGGTTTTGGTGGTGGTTTTGGTGATGATGCTAAATGGCTATCTGACTTTGGGCCAAATGCAATGAGAAGTCACCACAAGTTTGAGGATTCTGGCCACATAAAGTGAAGCTCTCTGATTGTTGATGATTTGATTATGAGAATAGCTAAGCTAAAAAGCATAAGGATAAAAGGTAACAAAAAATAATAAGAGTATAGAAAATCTCTGTTACTGACTAATGAGGTTTCCTTGGAAACTCAGAACTTTTTACCGTCTCTGAAAAAAAGATTGGCAGATACAGTCTAAGAGGCATAGAGGAGTGAATGTCATTTTACCCAGCAACCTTACTCTTCTCTTTATTTCCTTTAATGTATATTTGCAGAGCTATTTTTTTTTTCTTTCTTCCTTGAGTTTGTATTCATCTTCTACAATTTTACTTTCAGATTGCCTTTTTTATTAAAATAATATTTTGCCTCAATTTTAGTATTTGGCAGGAATATTAAGGTGACATATTTTTATCCATTGTATTGAATGCCCCTTTCCCCTTTCTCTTTCCAACCTTTACTTTGTACATTCTCTTCTTACCTTGTGATTCCCATTATCTCCATGTTTTCATTCACTTTTTCCCCATAAAAACCTATGTGCAAGAAAAGATTGATAAATTTACTCACTGAAGGACAAAACTTGCTTCTGATAATGCTTATGTGTGCATCAAATAAGTTGCATTTAACTACTAATAAAAAAGATATAACTATGGTGGCTTCAGCATATAAGGGTTTATTTTTCTCATGTAATGAGAAATCTGGAAGCCAATAGATGATGGCTTTGGTAGTACCTCAAGGTCTCTGTGATTATCTTTACCTTTTCTTTATGGTGCTAAGATAACTGCTCCTCTTCCTACCATCGTGTCTATATTCCATGCAGGAAAAAGCAGGAATGTTGGAAGGGGAAAAGGTCAGCTAAGTTAGCTTACTTTAAAGAGTTTTTCCAGAAGTCCTACCTAATGACTCCTGCTACATGGATCAAAACTGGGTCACATGATTACCCATGGCTATAAAGGAGGCTGGTTGCCTAGTCTTTTATCCAGGCACATTGATATCCAATATAAAATTGTGTTTATTACTATAAAAGTAGGGGAGAGTGAATACTGTGTAGGCAACCAGCTATCCTTTCCACACGCATTCTTCTGTTTTGCATTCTAACAAGGGATCAAGCTTAAGATCAAATGAATCTCTAGCCATAGAATTTCAGATATTGGTCAGGGAGTAGGAGGTATTGTGTTGTCAGAGGAGCTTTTCCTGGGATCTCTGAATTCTCATCATGTAGGCCATAGCTTACTCTGTTTCCTCTTAAGGCTGGCCTCTATAAAGGTATGATTGAGGATTAATGTGTGACCTGAAATCTTTTATCATTGAGTGGATACTTATACTGCTTCATTTCTGGGGTTGAGAGATGCCTAGAAGAGGTGGGGAAAAGAATGCTGGGGGAAGGGAGGTCGTGGCTCAGATCTTCTGGTTTATAGACTATGTGACTCAAACATGGGTGGTGGCTTAGATGGATCACTTTTAACAAAGGTAGAATCAAAGACATAAGGGAGAAAAATTTCAGTATTGAAGTAATCATCAAACTGGTCTAAATAGATATCAATGAATTTCCTATGAACTGTTACCTTTCAGAAGACTAAGGTTGTGCCATTGGAATGGTTCCAAGAAATACAGGGACAAGTGCAGGAAGTACCGTCCTCTCCAGGTACTTCTGGGACTCTTGAGGAAGGCTCTGGTTGTTGCAAGACAACAGTCTAAGTGGGCTGCAACTCCGTAACTTCAGGAGCAACTGTTTCACAGAGTGATTCTCCAGGCTAAGCACACCTCTACCCCATTACTTTGGATGTTGCCATTTCTGCAATCTGGACACCACTGGAGCTGGAAATTTTCCTGTCTTTGGAAATGGATCTCACCTGCCATGTCTCAAGGTTGGTGATTCTTACTGCTTTATTTACATTTGAGAAGAAAAATGCTCCTCATGTGATATGCTCAGCTGTAAGAAGTCCCACATGAAGATTTCTTGAGCCCCCCAAATTATAGAGATTAACATGATAGTCCTTCAGATTTATATACGTAACCCCTTTCTGCCAGTGTGCATCCATGCCTCCAGGGGGCTATGTTTAGGTGAGTTTTAGTATCAGCCATTGTGCTCTCTCTGAAGGACCACTCACCATCAGCAATCAGTATCTGTTGCTGGGTCTAATTTTTCTTCTTTCCTCATGGTAAACCCTCTCAGAAGGTCCCTTTTCCCTTGGTCATTATTGGACCAACCCCAAAACAGCTATATCAGTCTGATCTGTGTGGTGGGCTAGAGTCAAGTCTTTCTCAGTAGAGGCTCCTTAGCAGCTCTGTGAATCAAGAGATGTATATAGGTATGCCTATAATTCTTAAAACTTTTAAACAACCACTCACATGCTAAAAGTAGGTAGTTTAGCTTCTGAACACACTATATTTTCAATAAGATTTAATCTTTGTCTAATTAACTTATGGCCACAAAACACACACCATTAAAAGGCCCAGGCCTGGAATGAAAAAACTCACCTTAGCTACTCCAAGTGGGTATGTGTTGGAAGCGGTGGATAAATCCACTTAGTCTAACACCTGTTGCCCACCAATGATTTTCATTTGAGGAATAAAGTAGGAGAAGCAGATTGAGAACCAAAATGTTACCACACTTACGGATAGAAGTCAGATGGGAGGGTGCGAATTTATATCTGTTGGGCAAGATGAATAGGTAGACTTACCAACCCAGTCATGATAGCACTGGGCTGAGGCAGGCCAGGGGAGGATGGCATTGCTGAACTAAGCATGCCTGGCTTCCCACCCCATAAATCGCCCGCTCTCATTGGGGCTGGAGTGAGTAAAAGACCCTGGACAGCTAGGTATGTTTAGGGAAAACCCTTCCTGTGGAACCTGGAAGTGGGCCACAGCCTTTTTGTCCTGGTTCACAGCTGGTGGGGTGGTTGTTATACCATTCTGCTTCGTGTTGTGTACTCGCATTTGCTTTTTCTACCTTATTTGTGGTTTCCTAGATTCAGTTCCATCTCTAGGGCCTGAGCACTTCCTTCTTATGCTCATCTGCATTCTTCTTCATTCTCACTTCATAATCAGGAGGCGCTCAGTAGCTGTAAGTGTGGCTTTGATGCTGGGAGACACCATCCTCCCCTCAAAATATTTTCTTCCTCTGACTCCGAGGAGAGAGCTTCCCATTCAGGAGCGAGTTCCGTGGTGGAAGATGCAGTAAAGTGCATTAGCCAGAACCTGCAGGGCCTCAGTAACTGCACTCCGCTTCAAAGAGCATTTGCCCACCGAGCCCTCCCTTCACTCATGGCTTACATCTAAAGAGTATGCTCCCCTAGAACATTCTGCACTGGCTACTGAAGAATCTTGTGAAGTCAAGGCACAAAGAGCCATTCTGTTCTCAGAAATGCCTACATTTATACTACTGAGAGTCTCGCACTTACATATTAAATCTCCTGCTCTCTCTCCTGCGGATTTCAATCTGGCGGGACTACCACATGTCTTTGTGCTCTGTACCGCACACGTGCATATGGTGCATGCTAAATATAAATGCTGTTTGGCAGGATCCTTCTTCCTCTTCCTTTGTTTCTGAAAATGTAGTGAAGAAAATGTGTAATGTGTGCCCTCTCCGAAATGAGACAGACTTTCAGGAAGTGGAAGTATCTTGACAACAAGCCACACATTTTATGCATGTGGCAGGAGTGGCAGCAGTAACTGTCCGCTGCTTTGTCTGGTCAAATCGGGGCTGCTGAGCTGGTTTGCACCCTCTTTTCAGCAGAAGTCAAGCAGCTTCCTGCATAACTGAACCATTTGACTGAGCTTCCAGGGGCTAGTTTTCAGATACTGCAAGTCCTTCCCTCTACTCACACACTAGTCAGGTTAGGTCAGTGTATGGTGCAATAACAAACAACTCAAAGCTCTCTGTAGCATAATGCAGTATATATTTATTTCCTGTTCATGCTTTGTGGCCAAAGTCAGTGACTGCTCATCACAGCCACTCAGGCCCAGGCTGATGGAGGCTGTGGCTCAAAATATGTCTCCACCATCTCTGCAGCCATGGGTCAGAAATGTGGCAAGTCACACTCTGGCTATGAGAGCTTCCGCTGGAAATGACACGTCATTTCTGCTCTCACTCTACTTAGTAATTCTCATGCTATGCTTTACTTCAGAGGGGAGCAGGACAGTATATATGATCAGGTGCCTGAAGGGCACTGAGCTATCAGTATTTTGCTACTGGCACAATGACTAGCATGTCTCCCGCCAGGATTATGAAAAGAGTGGAAAATTCTTCGTGCTATTATCGAGGTGCCCAGGTACTTTCTAGGTGCGCCAATAGTGCTGTGGAAGGAAGAGAGCAAGACACCACAGAATTAAAGCTATTCCATGCAGGCATCTCATAGGATAGCCCTGTCTTAAAACTGCGCTTAGATTTTAAAAGCAGTGCCATGGCATAGAGAAACCTGGGTTAGGGACAGTAGGGTGAAAGACACGAAAGCACACAGATGCATGCTCCATTTTCAGTCTCCAGAACCAGCCCAAGGTCACACACACAGTGTCACGTCCAGAATGGAACAAATGTGAAAACTGGTAAAATGTTGCTTGAGCCTTTGAGGAGCTGACTTGCATCCTGCTCTCTCTGCCTGGCTTCCTAGCGTCCCCGTGGGTTCTGCTCATGCCAGTAGAGCCTGTTTGGACTTCTTTCGCTGGTGGTGGGGACCTCAGCAAAGCTGGGATTGCAGAGAGTGTGTTTTGTTAGATCTTAAGGACTGTGGAAAGTCCCTGAGCCACTTAGCAGGTGAAAAATCATGACTGTGTCTGTGCCAACTTTGAAGGCCTAACATCTCCAGACTGATTGCAGTGAGCATAGGAAAAACCCGAAGGAGGTTTTCAGATTCAGAGGGCAGTTGAGAGGGCTTGCCTAGTGACACTGATCATAGCTGGCAGGGGGCTGCTTGAGGGGAGGCTGCGGCTTGTGGTTCTTCATGGCCTGCCCCAGACAGAGCCCTCCGTGTAGCAATGAAGGAGAGTTAAAGAAGAGCAGTGGGCTCTCTGGGGATGCCCTGGAGAGGTAGCAAGACTGATTTGACTGTCCACGACTGCTTGGCACAACGTGAATCTCAGCACTTTTTAGCAGGATTCTGCTAATGAATGTGGAACCGAGGGACTGGCAGCTCCATTTCCTTTGGTATTAACATTTTTTACTTTATTTTAATGAGGAAAATGAGATTCTTCTCAGTTTCCTATCACTGAACTCGGTTTGGGAGGGTATGACATTTAACAACAGGGCTTTGAAAAATATTAAGCATTATACAAATACAAGGAATTGTTGCTGCTGTAATTCTGATGAGGCATACACGCAGCTTTGAAGCAGCCTTAATATTGAGGGGATATTTAAGGATTAGGAGGGCCTCTGTAACTATTGGGTATCAAGTCAAGATGGCCTTCGTGAAAAGGGCCAACTAATCTGGCCATATTAAATCCATTTTTAGAAGCTAAATATCCAAACTCTGAGTCAATAAACCACAAACGCAGACATAGATCATGAAACTTGATCATCTCACATCAGATGCAACACTCTCATAAATGATAAACTATGTCAGGCAATTAATTCTAATTTGAGGCTATAACTTGATCATGTTCTTGGCAGAAGAAGGAAATGGCTTTGGGCAAGAGAAATGGCCCCAAATTTCTCAATATGTAGACGCAGCCAAAGTGAAGTAAGAGGGGAGGACTGCCATTAATGGTGGACTTGAGGACGAATCCAGATAATTCAGGAGAAAATGATGTCAGTGTCCTTAAATCAGCCCCAAAGCCTTCTAAAAATGACAGTTAAGCTTTATTAATTTGGATGAATTTGGGGTTAAGGTCAGCCTGAATTGGTAGAAATTTGAATTATAGACTGTTTGGAAAGACATCCAGTTGTGTTCTTTTTCAAGTATAAAAAATGCAAAACTAATAGATAGAAGAATGGGACCAAATATAAGTCCACCAGGGCTGCTCAATCATCCTAATTATTGTTTGCATGCTACTGTGAAATGCTTCAGTCTTACAGTAGGTCTACTGTTGCCTTTTGTATTTTAAAAATATTAATATAATTACAAAGTCCTTGTTTTTTATTATTCAGAAGAAAATTTCAGCCATGTTGAGAAGGATAGCCACAATTTTTGATGTGCTTATACATAGAGGAGTCATCAGAAGGCCAACACATCTGTCCCCACAGTCCTACTTGTCTCATGTCCCATGTGCAGTGGAGCAAAGGCTGCACAGCTTTTTGAGGAATTCAAAACCATTCATCATTCTGAATAATAAAGCCAGGTATGGATTTTTTAAAATAAAAACCCCCTCATAATGATCTAAATCCTTTATATACATTGTTTCTTCACCTGCTAATTCAGCTGGGCAGTTCTGGGCAACAAGGTCGAGTAGATAAAGCTCTCATTGATATTCTTTATCCTTTCAGCTTTTAGTTGCCAGGCCCTTCATTTCCCTTGTATTCTCTTCTTTCTCTTAAGTGAGTACACAGTGAGACTTCAAGTCCACTGAGGGCAAAGCTCAGGAGCATGTTGTCCTGTAGTGTGTCTGGGACATAGTAGTGCCTTAGTCCATGATTACTATAAGAGTGAGTTAATGCTTCAGTTAGCTATTAGGGTTGATAAACAAATTCACATTAAGCAGTAAGTACTAATAGTTGATGAATATGTTGGGCATTATAAAGGGAATGCTGAGGAATGAGTTCTGTTTTGGATTTTAGATACTGGACCAGGCAGGTCATTACCTTCAACCTGGCGGGTGAGTGATTATTGTCTCTACTCTCCTGGGTACAAGCTTTCTTTAAAAAGAACAGCCCCAGCAACTGCTACTGCCAGTTGTTAAGAACCTACTGTGTATCAAATGTGTAATGTACCAA